ACGTGCCCGCGTCCCCCAGGGTTTGCAATACGGGTGGATGGGATGTGAGTCCGGGGGGGGGGAAGGGGAGGGGGGATATCAAAGGGTTTCTGGTCCTGTGTATTTTATAATTCATTGCATAGCTAAGCGGCAGAATACATTTCCTCTAACAAGCTCGGGGACAGAATGCGGATAGAGAGGGCTATCCAGGATGACTCTTGAGTGGGAAGCATGGGCTTTCGTTTTGCCTGCGCATCTGAAAGCCAAGCTGGGCCTTTGCTGGTTCCTCTAGATTCGAGTCCAGTAGCACCTTAAGAACAAGATTTGGGAAATAAACTATCAAGAGGCAGAGGAAGAGGAGGAGATTGGAGTTCTACCCTGCCCTTCACTACCCGAAGGTGTCTCAGAGCAGTTTACAATCCCTTTCCCGTCCCCTCTCCACACCCTGTGAGATAGGTGGGGTTGAGAGAGCTCTTTCAAGGACTGCCCTTGAGAGAACAGCTCTGGGAGAACTTGTGACGGACCCAAGGTCACGCCAGCAGCTGCATGTGGAGGAGCGGGGAATCAAACCCGGTTCTCCCAGAGTCTGCGCTCCTAACCACTATACCAGACGGGTCTGCGCTCCTAACCACTATACCAGACGGGCTCTCAAAGCTCCCTTTGACTTTCTCAAGAATTCATCGCTTCCTTTGTCAGATATGACTTTGACTCTTGAGAGCTTCTACCCCTGGAGGAAAGCCAGTTTGGTGTAGTGGTTAAGTGAGCAGACTCTAATCTGGGAGAACCAGGTTTGGTTCCCCACTCCTCCACTTGCAGCTGCTGGATGACCTTGGGCAAGCCATAGTTCTGTCAGAGCTGTTCTCTCAAGGACAGTTCTCTCAGAGCTCTCTCAGCCCCACCCACCTCACAGGGTGTCTGTTCCCACAGGAAGGGAAAGGAGTTTGTAAGCTGCTCTGAGACTCCTTTGGGTAGTGAAGGGCGGGGGATAAATCCAATCTCCTCCTCCTCCTCTTCTTCTTCTTCTCCTCCTCCTCCTTCTTCATCTTCTTCCCCAGAAATCCTCTAAGGTGCTGCTGGACTCGAATCCAGCTCTTCTACTGCAGACCCACATGGCTACCCTTGGAAAATGGTTCCCCTAGTTATTGATTCCCCCCCCCCCGCAGTTTCTTGCATTACCTTCCCCCTGCTTAAGCGCACCCTTAAAATCAAATGTCAAAAGTACCACTAAGCGCATGTTGCCAAAAGAGGCTTATCGTTCTAATCTTCTTAGAACACTGGTTCTCGCTTTCATTTGCCCTCTTTGCTTAACCAAAGCCAGTTTGGTGTTGTGGTTAAGAGCAGCGGACTCTAATCTGGGAGAACCAGGTTTGATCCCCCACTCCTCCTCTACATGCAGCTGCTGGTGTGACCTTGGGTCAGTCACAAGTTCTCTCAGAGCTGTTCTCTCATCAGCTGTTCTCTCAGAGCTCTCTCAGCCCCACCCACCTCACAGGGTGTCTGTTGTGGGGAGGGGAAGGGAAAAGAGTTTGTAAGCCGCCCTGAGACTCCGAGTGAAGGGTGGGGTATAAATCCAATCTCTTCTTCCTCCTCCTCCTCCTCATTGAGGGCCTCATGAATTTTAACTCCAGGGGCCGTGCGCAGTGCATCACCCCAATGCCTCGTCATCATTTTGTTTTCATCGTGGTGCCATGTTGTGCATCAGCTAGAGCAGCGGTCCACGTGTGGTTCCCGTGGGCGTCACAGTGCCCACCCACCCCTTTCCTGGTGCCCATCAAGTGTTTTTCAAAGGTGGGCAGGGCCAAGTAGGACAGGGGCAGGGAGCGAGACTGTTGGTCCTTCCAGGTCAGTATCGTCTGCTCAGACGGGCAGCGGCTCTCCAAGGTCTCAGGCGGAGGACTTTCCCGTCACCTCCTGCCTGGTCCTTTTAAACTGGTGATGCCAGGGATGGAACCTGGGACCTTCTGCATGCCAAGCAGAGGCTCTGCCACTGAGCCACGGCCCATCTTTACAGCTCTCCAGGGTCTCAGGCTGAGGTCTTTCCCGTCACCTCCTGCCTGGTCCTTTTAAACTGGTGATGCCGGGGATGGAACCTGGGACCTTCTGCATGCCAAGCAGAGGCTCTGCCACTGAGCCACGGCCCATCTTTACAGCTCTCCAGGGTCTCAGGCTGAGGTCTTTCCCGTCACCTCCTGCCTGGTCCTTTTAAACTGGTGATGCCGGGGATGGAACCTGGGACCTTCTGCATGCCAAGCAGAGGCTCTGCCACTGAGCCACGGCCCATCTTTACAGCTCTCCAGGGTCTCAGGCTGAGGTCTTTCCCGTCACCTCCTGCCTGGTCCTTTTAAACTGGTGATGCCGGGGATGGAACCTGGGACCTTCTGCATGCCAAGCAGAGGCTCTGCCACTGAGCCATGGCCCATCTTTACAGCTCTCCAGGGTCTCAGGCGGAGGTCTTTCCCGTCACCTCCTGCCTGGTCCTTTTAAACTGGTGATGCCGGGGATGGAACCTGGGACCTTCTGCGTGCCAAGCAGAGGCTCTGCCCCTGAGCCACGGCCCCTCTTGACAGCTCTCCAGGGTCTCAGGCTGAGGTCTTTCACATCACCTCCTGCCTGGTCCTTTCAAGTGGAGATGCCGGGGATTGAACCTGGGACCTTCCGCATGCCAAGCAGAGGGTCTGCCACTGAGCCACAGCACCTCTTTATAGCTCTCCAGGGTCTTAGGCGGAGGTCTTTCACATCAACTGCTGCCTGGTCCTTTTAACTGGAGATGCCGGAGACTGAACCTGGGACCTTCTGCATGCCAAGCAGAGGCTCTGCCCCTGAGCCACAGCCTTTCTTTGCAGCTCTCCAGGGTCTCAGGCATTGAAAGGTCTTTCACATCACTTCCTGCCTGGTTCTTTTAACACTCTCTCTCTCTCTCTCTCTCTCTCTCTCTCTCTCTCTCTCTCCCTCCGTCTCCGTCTCCGTCTCCGTCTCTTTTTCCAGGACTGGAAATATTCACATCACCTTTTTTTAAAAAAAACAAACTAAGGTGTTTATATTTTTAAAATCCCACAAGGAGGCCAAATGGTGCTGATAGAGCCACAAAGTAAGTGTAGGTCCATAAGAAAGCACTGTGCACACATTTAACTCCACCCTCCCACCCCCCAGAATAGCTGGGCTTTTTTTCATTCCCAAGACTTCAAAATGTCCAGATCTTTACCTATGAGGCTTGGCCTGAAAGAGGGGTATCAAAAGAGAATATCAGCATTCAGCAATCTAAGGGAACAATGGTGGTGGTGCTGGAAAGGGCGGTTAAGTCACAGCCAACTTATGGCGACCTCATAGGGTTTTCAAGGCACGAGGGCAGGGGGGGCCTCTTTCACACGCAGGGCGGCTGGAGAAGCGAAGGGGAATCATGCTTTCTCTTCCTCCCTCCCTCCCTCCCTCCCTCCCTCTTTCTTTCTTTCTTTCTTTCTTTCTTTCTTTCTTTCTTTCTTTCTTTCTTTCTTTCTTTCTTTCTTTCTTTCTTTCTTTCTCCCTC